TGGGAGAGTTCGCATTATAGAGCTTTAAGGGGCGGAAGTGGTAGCAATTTCATGAGAATTATTGCTTTAGGTAATCCATATCAGCGGAAACGACCCAACCCCCTCTAAAATCGCGGATGCAACCACTCCGTCTCTTTACACTTATGTTAGCGCAACTGGATAGCTGAATCGTAGTTTTTGAAGCTTCACATTCACAACGCTGCTGAAAACCCCCTCATCTACTCATACGATATATTATTTAGTTATCAATAATGTTTTATTTAACCTTTCAAGCTACTCAGGACTTGGAAATCCCTCATACATCTTATTTGAATGACCAACAGGAAAAGGCTTACATCCGCAGAGACGTCCTCCGGCCGAGCTCCAATCACAATTGCAGACATCTCCCCAAGAGTTCAATTCGCCTTGCTGGCAAATCGGACGTGAGCAGTCCGGCGTCGTGAAGTCAGCTGGGCAGGAGCAACTCGTCGAGCCCGCTGTTCCACCATTTTGGCATACTGAAACAGACAGTCACTATACTATCGGACTTTTCGACTAAAAGCTATAATTCGTTGATTCAGTTATTTTTTTGTATTTCTTATTCTGTCCATGTCTGAATTGAGCTTTTTCTGAGGAATATAAATAGTTCTAGAGTCTCCTGTGCTTTTTCTCGAGGAAAAGAAATTGTTCGTGAGTCTACTGTAATCTGCACCTACTGTGTCATATCTTTCCAAGCACTTACCCATTGAAGAAGCGACTCCGACAGGTATCACTCGATTTACTGTTGTAGTTCCATCATTCAGAGAAACCTAAACAACATTGCTGCAGATTTGATGAAGGACATTCAAAGCCTTGGAACTAGGCGATTTTTGCCCGGATCACAAGAATTCTTTGGTGTCTCTGTTTTCTTTGTCTGTTTACTGTCAGAAAACTATCACACTATCCACCCGTCTAACCCTTCCCATCTTTGCCCTGATAGCTGAGCAATGCGCCCGGGCAAAATTTTGATTTGAGGAGACGTTCGCGACCAAGCAACAAAAAATCAGAAACCGTACTGGCACCCATTGGCAAACTTACCAGGAAGGTCTTTCAGGACATGGAGCCCTTTTTGAAAACGGTTTTTTGCATGATAAAGGGGCACATGCATGGAGTACAAAACTAGGCTCCATTTTTTCTGAGCGGCCCTCTGAATGCCAAAAAAGGAGTGAAAAAAATTTCTTCAGAAATCGGAGTTTTCACACCTTCAACGTGGTTTATATCACTCGTTATGTTAAGTGGACGCACAATAGAAGGTTTTCTTCACCTGAACGTTGAAAACAGCGTGGAATAAAGCCAATACCAAAAATTGTATATAATAAGTGCTCAAAAGCACAAGGAAGTTTCATCAGAGTCGTTGACATTCATTGTACAGCGGTGGTCGGATGGTCGAGTGGATAGCGTGATGGACTCTGGTTGGCACGGTTTGTTCGAAGTTGTTGGTTCGGTTCCCCTCCATGCTCGGATTTTTGCATTTTTCCGATTATCACTTTTTTGCATTTGCATGTGCTTGCGCGTGAACTTAAAGCCTATAGGTGTCATTTCCAAGAACTTTCTCCCACAATTCTGCGATATTTCGTAGTACCATGTTTTTCAGTTGTGTACGAAATTCCGTTTACAAGCAATAAATAACTAGCAGTTATGGTAAAACTCAATGAAGCATCTGAATCACAGGCGCGGATCACACCAACTGCATCTAACGAACGCCAGAAAAGTGCAGTTGTCATTTTCTTCGCAAGGAACACCTACTCCATTTCCCTTGAAGGCAGATTGCCGGCGTTGAGGAACGTCCAGGATGCTCGTCGACGTAGCCAGTGCCCACCCAGGCATACGCCATGCATCGACGAGATCAAGGGGTGATGCCAGATTGCCCCATGGGCAGGAACTGCGGTGGAAGTGTAACTATCAACCAAACGTGCCGCTTGCTATCATCTCGAAGCTGTCTCCAAGTGGGAAGCGTGCATGCCGTACTGACTATGGGCTAACCCATGGCCCAATTTTTGAATTCGGGCCGAAATCTTGATCTTCTCTAAAACTGCGGCTATAAGGGTAATTATAGGCGCTGATTACGAATCTGACGTCCATTTTTGATGGAGGCGCGATATTGCGCCATTTTAGCCTCCTCGGGCACCAACTCGGCGCCGCTTTAGCGCCATACAATTTTCGCCCCAATTCTGGGCAGAAAGCTAATCAGAAAGGTTGATGATGACCCTGATTGTAAGAACAGTACCTATTTTTATCGGCGGTAACATTTGGAGTCATTTAACATGCGCTAACATGAAATGCAAAATTTTGTCATCAGCCGGGACCGATCCCTCGACCGATTTTTCATACCTTTTTTGGCATTAGGAGGGCCGCTCAGAAAAAATGGAGCCATAGTTTTGTACTCCATGCATGTGCCCCTTTATCATGCAAAAAACCGTTTTCAAAAAGGGCTCCATGTCCTGAAAGACCTTCCTGGTTGTAGGCGATAGCTATTATGAAAGATGGTTTAAATCAAATAAGACCCTGAATACGGTGCATCACACCTAAGCACTTACCCAATTTTTACCTTAATCACTATCACCGTGCAAAGGATCCATGCCAAGGCAACTCGTTGAAGTCACTTCCGAGCATGAGCTCTTGCTGAGCTACCCAAATCCTTTCTTTCGGCTCTATTCATACTTGGTAACCGGATGGGCGTTGCAGAAGCCCCTGTTCGGGTCCCTTTTAGACACCAAACGAACACATATATTTTTAATATTAATGATTGTAAAATAAGACTTACCGTAACAAAATTCGCACCAGGACTCATTGGCGGGAAAACGCTGAATGCGCTATAGCCATAGGTACATGACGGTCGCACAGAGACACGGTAATTCGTACTACTGTTCTGAACCTGCCATGGCAATGTGAAGGCAATGGAAGGACCAGCAGCTGGAAACAGACGATAACCCTATCAGTAGGTGAACAAAAAGACAATTTGATGGTACCAGTATTCGGCGTAGCAAATGCCGTCCACTCGTCGTCTGTTCCTTTCGTTGATGACCGTAAACGATGGTGTGACTCCGTTGAGAATCACTGCAGAGGCTGAGTACTCGTAGGAGTTGATAGCGGAGAGCACGAACCTGGATGAGCCGCTCAACTTGTACACTGCACTATACCGTCCGATCACTGTGACCGGAGAAAGGAGCCAGCCATCGCCTGAAAATTACTTTGAGATCTTGTGCACTGGGTTGAGCTTAGAACTCTCATGAGAAGTACGTACTGCTGGCGACTTTGACCGCGTTGACATCTCGACAACTCAGGAAAACGTATCCGGTGGCACGCGAGTCAACAGTTACAAAGGCGTTATCGAATTGGCTAGGGGTGATAAGTGCTATGGATGCGACGCTGGATAACATATCCGAGAATACCTGAAACAAGACGAAATTCGGGGGATCAGCTAGAAGGCCCATATTGCGGCGGTGTGCATATTTCTTAGCTAACTAACATGGCTTACCGTAGCTAATCACGGTCAAATTAACTGGTTGGCCCTGATGTGCGTCCAACACAATTCATTTTACGACACGAGTTGGAAAATCGACGGCTGGTCAATTGCGCCTCGTTTAGTATGAAACCTAAGAAACATCGGAGCCGGTGTGGTGTAGGGAGGGTTTCACGACAAACTGGAGGTCAAGGAAGCGGAAGTATACCCACTGAAAAGGAAGGCAGCCCTCCCACTCCCCTAAGGGGCGGGGCTAGGCCCTTTCGCTGGCCAAGAGTGCGGCGGTAAGCCTAGCAGGGTCTCACTTGCGGCTCTCTTCGCCCGACGACTGGCTATCCCCGCCATCGGAGCCCAACCGCAGACGCTAGACGTTAAGCTTAGATGAAGGCCAGGACGCTCACACTGATGGCGTCACCTATCAATGAGATTCACCCCGATGCAGCAATCAAGGAGCATTTCTCGAGTACGAGGCCATTTTTCCTAGACTTCTCTTCAATCTTGCATCATTGATCTTTTCTACCGTGAGTTCTGATCGGCTGCTTTTTTTCCTATCGTAAGATACGCCTTTCATTGAATATGGTAATGGCCACTGAAATCTAACGCAGCTTCGTCGCGACGCCGCAGTGACGGGTTTCCGATCGACTCTTGGACATTTGAGGAAGAAAACAGGATGAGCAGCATGTCGATATTGTCCAACCCTTTTGGTATTTCAATGCAAAACCATTTCTGATCTTTACTTATATGTGCCAACTTGATGTTACGGTCATTTATGACTATTTTTTATTCATTGATTATACATGTGATTAAAACCGGTATCCGCTCCTAAACTGATCGATAGATATCTATAAATTTAGAATGTTGAGGGTATCACGACACATGATTCTGTGGGTTGTCGTAGCGTTCTGCTCGTTCAGTTTCGCAGTTGGTCAGGTTCAGAGGGAGAGCGGGAAGGGAAAGGGAGGAGGAAGGGGTAGTAGCGACCCAAGAAACAGCGGAAACTTTTCAGTTTCCTTGGAAATTGTTGCTCCTTACACTCCTTGAAAATATGCCTTTCGACGAGTCACATTCTCCCTTTCCAAACCGTTCACCAGATAAGGTACTCTTCAGGGGACAAGTGTTTTTCTGTGCTGCATAGCGTACACCGTCAAATATCCATTTTCGTTCAGTCACGGTGGTTGTACAATCCATTTTTGGATTTCGAAACCATTGTAGCCGCCAGGGTTGTACCTATTTTGTTCCAGGTACGGTGGTTCAACACCGAAAGTTAAAGGCAGCGATCACGATGGCTGTCGGGCGGTGCGAGTTTGTGGACGTCGTTGAACACCATTATGGCAGGGCATTGAAAGGCGTTCCAAACAATGCCCAGCAGCACGCTCAGGGGTCTAGTCCACCGCCCGACAGCCATCGTTTCATTCCAGGTACGGTGAACTGTCCTTGAATGATGTCATTAAGCCGCACAGTCCAAACAATAAGTCATCATCATGATCGCTGCCTTTAAATTTCAAATCCGCAATCCACAGATGGGTCCGATCGCAAGCTGTGAAAGCATCCTATTCCTTTGAAAAGATCGATACGAATTGCTTAACTTACACTGAGTCGAGGTGCAACCATCTGCTCATTACCGTCCACGAACAAAATATTTCCTCCAGTCACAAATGCTGCTGCCCGAAGATCCGTGTAATCATCATACGCGAGCGAGTAACGTCTTTGAGCATCCATAGCGACCAAATACAGCTGAAAGGCTCAGTTAAGGTCTCCTACAGTATACTGCCATCAACATCGCCTCAGCCTTAAAGGCAGGTGACACAATAAATTGCATGTTTAGGAAGGGCAAATGTGCC